ATGGATGGGTTTAAATCTACAGTACACTGCAAAAATAGCAACAAATAAATAAATAAAATAAAATGAGTAAAGCTGCTTGGCAAATCTTGTTTTACTGCTCGGCAAATGTAATCAAACCAAAGTTATAAACCCTAGACTCCATTGTATTTGTTACTTTTCTTGTGAATTGACGCTAACGAGGGTCACCAACACCTCATCTCCCATCACCACAAGAGGACATTTTCTAGTTAATCACACACTCCCAGTACATCCACCACAGCCAAATGTTTGTCTAGGCTCATCCTGCTCTGGCTGCTCTGTGTGCTCCAGAGTGAGGCTGACGGATGGCTCTATGTGGAGGACACCCAGAGCAGTGTAAGGATGATTTGGGCAAATGAAGAGCTGCAGATGGATGTGGTGCTGCAGCCTTGTCTCCGACCTTAAGCAAAGCGTGAGAGCCCCTTTCAGAAAGAGCAATATGCCACCGGGCTGATTGATTAAATCATGGCCAGACAACTGTGAACTCAGCATTAGCCAACACCACTGGGATTGATGTACTCCAGGCAGTCGCGTGCACCCTCCATATTCACTGTGGGAGGGGCTTCTATTTTTAGCATCAAATTAGAGGAGACAATTTTGGAGGTTCATGGGTTTTTTCACCTTAACAGGCTGCTTTAGTCACGTCTTATGTATATGTTTTGGAAATGTCATTTACTATTTAACTATCTATGTTTTGTTTAGAAATTTGAGTTGTCCTTGTCATATACAAATAAACGTCCCTGTTCTTTATCCTGGTATATATGTATTTAATGTGGGGCGGCTGCGGCTGTAAAGTGCCAAACAGTCGTTGTGTCCTTAGGCAAGACACTTCACCCCCATTGCCTAGAATGAGTCTGGTGTGTGTGTGAATGGTTGGTGGTGGTCGGAGGGGCCGATGGCGCATACAGGTTGCCTCGCTTCTGTCAGTGTGCCCCAGGGCAGCTGTGGCTACAGTAGTAGTTTATCACCACCGTGTATGGAGTGAATTAATAATGACATGTGAAGCGTCTTTGAGTGTCCAAAAAAGCGCTATATAAAACCGATGCATTATTATTATTATTATTATTAATGTACACTATATATACGCACACACATACAGATATATATATATATATATACAGTAAGTACATTGATATTTACTTGCCGGTCTTATGAAGCATGTAGTTACTTGTATTGTATATATTGTGTGCTCTTATAGTGTGATCTTACTACTGTCCTGTATGTGCGTTGCAACATCAAAATTTACCCACTGTGGAACGAATATAGGTTCTCTTATGTTAATATCAGCGTCCGGAGTAAAACTGTGGAATGAACTGTGGAATGACATAAAAAGCTTTGCCAACTTCCATGTGTGAGAAACAATCTCAAATGAAATTAATGATTAAAAACAAGGAGAAAATAAAAACAAAAGAATATATTTTTTTAACTGATAGGGGAAGGAACGCTGCAGTGCATCTTCATATTTAATAATTTTTCTTTTTAATTTGTACGTGATTCTTTCTGCTCCTTTTCATTTGTGTGACAGGACTACAATTATTTGAGGTGTAATTGTAACATGTTGTGAATTGTCATGTCCACAAGTTAAAGAAAAGCAATTTTACAGGTAATTTTTCTATTTAAATTCATACCTTGATTTGGTGGAATCAAAATGGACCAAAACCTGGACCAAAATAAGACGCAAAACAAGGGAGAAAAGTTGCCCAAACATAACAAAGGGGTAATTAAGTCTCTAATTGACAAGTTTCAATGTTGTTTCCAGAAACCAGCTAATATCTCATTGATATCAACCTTAAATGTCTAATTACTGCGGAAGCTGACATCATCTCACCCCAAGTAACTTTCATCAGATCCAAAACTAATTTCCTCACCGCAGGAGGCTCTTCTATTTTAGCCTTGAATTTAAGAGTTTTTTATCCAGGTAAACAAAATGCCTTGAGAATGATTACAGGCTAAATGTTTCCCAAAGTCGCTCTTCATCTTTACCTTTCTATTGTTCTTGTTTCAGACACGGAGCTTATGCAAAGATGGACCTGAGGTTAATGGAAAATGATAATAATAATAATGAAAGGAAGTCTGAGAGGAGCCATGAGCTGTCCACCGGGGTTTGGGTTGACTATCATTTTTTCAATAAAACCATTTAAAGTTGTGTGACAGGTTTATAGCGATCGTAACACTTGAAGAACCTTTGGTACTATATAATCATAATATTAATAATAATAATATTGCATTTTACATAATTTTCCATGGCGCTCCATGAATGTATGGACAGGTGCCATTGTGCCAATACAATCTATAAGAAGGTTGTAAAGATTTTTTTAAATGCATATTTTATTCCCAGACTATTATCATCATTTGACAGGGATTAGATTCATAAAGCTGCCATATTTCTTAGTGTATATGTCATATATATGACATATGTCATTTTTAGTTTCATGTGGATCGGCTCAAGAATTACTCAGACTAGAAATCTGACTTTTAACCATTACCATAGTTACCTAGTTATAGCCCTCCACCACTGTTTTAAACTAAAGGCTCTTTGGGATGTTGTGATGTCGCACAAACGCAACCTTTTGAGCTCGTTCTACGCATTCAGCTGCAACGTTATCGTAGAAAAGAACATCGGAAGCGTCGAGGCAATCGCTAAAATAATCGTAACAATTTAAACTCCTGTTCCATATATATATGAATAGATCGTAATGACACTATGCCTGCAATCCACGCTTATTACTGTTGCTGAAGGAGTTTGTTTTCATCTTGAGACACAACAACAGCTTGCTCTCACAGCGAAAGTGGCGGCGTGGTCTCTTTTACAGCTGTGCACCGTCTACGGCCGCACGCACACCATCTGCAACTCAACGTGTCAAATTGATGAAACACTGGCGAATGAAGAGCAATTGGCATGACGAGTAAATCAGAAATTGTTCAATCTCTCTCGCCGTTTTATTTTTAAGGTGAGCTACGGCAATATGCGTCTCCCAATTGTGTGCGATTTGCCACAGAATCCAAATCGGGGTTAAAATGGCCTTAATTGGAAAGCCGAGGATATCAAGTGTGTCTCATCTGCCTAAGGGCTGGACTGTTATTATTGAGAAGATCTCTCCGGGCTTTAAGAGGAGAGACATTTGTTTTTGTTCGGGTGCTCCACTGTCTGCGCAAACACCAATTATTTAGGAAAATTCAAGAGACCAGACTTTTCCTGTATAGATGAGTGGATATGTTTTTGGCTTGCGTAGAGTGTGTGTGCGCAAAGAAGTGGTTGGCAAAGAATCAAGTTATTTTTAGCCACGTTTATGTAAGTGACTAACGCGTTGTGGAATAATGAGGAGGCTCGGTCCCCGGTGGAGTTGGAGAAGAAGAGAGACGGGACTCCAAAAGAGGCAGAAGAAAAAGTGATTGAAGGAAAACTAATGAGTTAGCGAGGAAAAATGGACACACACACAGGGAACGGGCGGGATAATCAAAGGACGGAGAGAAAAAAAAAAACACAACACATGCCAATGGGTGGTCTCTGTCAGAAGAGAGGTGTGGCGAGGAGAAATGGGAAATATTTGTATTATTTCTAGGATGAATATTAATCAAAAAATCAAAGTTATAAATGGAAAAAAAAGGAAAAAAATCAAGTGTAGTTGCCAATTACTCCAAAAAACTATCTGGTATCACAAAAAGAATCAAACTATGTTCACAGCCACACAGTTACATTATATTTGATTAACTGTATTATTGAATCTTGATAAATAATGTGATCATGACCGAACTAAATTAAAACTGGGGTACCTAATTTCTTTCTTTGATAAATAGGACATTTTGTTTGTCTCAACTCTTTCTGTTGGTCTCATGAACAAATCAGACCACACCATATTCTCTTTACTAATTATTGTTATCTTATTTACTACTAAAGAGCCTTGTGATTAACTATTTGACACGTTGGGCTGCAAGCTGATTGGCTGATTGGAGAGGGCGGTCCTCTCTAACTTTTCTATCTGTGAAAGGATGCGACAGGAGCCTAAAATTCATGCATCTGAAAACTAGTGATAAAAGCAAACTGTTTTGAGAGCCAGGAACTATAGTTAGATTAATATTGTTACGTAGTTAATTTTTTATGGTTTGCAAGTAAGTTTGAAAGCTGTGTCGCAGACCCTCTGCTGACATGTACAGATGTAAACATACGACTATATATTTCTGCACTAGAATATACTGTGCGGTGACAGTGGCTCAGTTGGGAGAGCATTGGCCTTTGGGTCTGAAGGTCGTGGGTTCAAGCCCATCGTAAGACTTCTCCCACTGATGTCTGCTGTCGTTGTGTCCTTGGGCGGAAGCCCCCACTGAAAGATCTCAGCTCCTGTGGACTCACCACCTGCAGGAGGATCAGTGAGGGGCTGGTGCTGTGTGCACTGACTGACCCAGAAAGGGATAAAGGGGAAGAAAATGGATGGATGGATGGACTATGCAGTACTTTACACTTTCTTCTTTGTTCATTTATTATATCGAGATGTTGTACCTAATTCTTACTTCTTATTCTAGATTATAGACTGCTTCCTTATTATGCTAAAGCTAGTAATAGTTTAATATAGAGTTATTTAGTATAGAGTTTAGTAGAGAGCTGTGTTCATTTACCTTGTGCTGTGTGCTCATTCCTACTGTTCTGAAACTAGTAATGCAACACTGAAATTTTCCCACTGTGGGACGAATAAAGGATCTCTTAATCTTAAATTAGGTACCCCAGCTTTAACTGGAGATAACGTTAGATCAAATCTGGAGCAAAACAACAAACCTTTCACTCATTATCGAATAAATAAACAAACAAGGAAGTAAATCTGAATAAAAAATAGCGCATGTGTAAGAAACGTATTTTCATAACAGTAAAAAAGGCATAACTGCTTTTCACCCTTTTCCAGCAATAAAATCCTCATACACTGTCACTGTCTAAAGCAAACGCTCTCTCTCACACTCAGTCACACACAGCGCTCTAACTTCTCTGGTACCTCTTCTCAGGAGCTGGCTCCTGATTGGCTGCTGGGGGCGGGGCTGCAGCCTGCGCCGTTTCCTGCAGGTCAGGGATATTGGCAAAGTCATCTTGCTCAGCCACACCTATGGCCAGAGCCAGGACCACCAGCTTTCCTTCACTGGTCCCCCACAAAAACGTAAAAAAGAACCAAAAGAACGAAACAAAATAGGAACCCAGAACGAACAAACCAAAAGTATAAAGAGGAGGTGTGGTGCGGGGGGAAGAGAAGAAGACAGGTCATTTAAGGTGGCGACACAGAACGGAAGGCATAAGACCTCAGCAGAAAGCACATGTCCAGGGAAGGATATTATCAAAGGAAACCGCTTGATGAGAAAGGCCACGTTATTAATACAAGATGCTTTAATGAACAGGTGCTGTCTCTGCTCACTTTCAACCAAACAAAAGATGAAGTTGATTAGCCGGTCAGCGCTAATGAACCTGCTCTTCAGGTCCACATACTCACTGAGATGTCTCCCACCTTGTTTGTCATAGAGTTGCTCAGTGGCTTAGTCCCACACACACTGCAAAAAATAACAAAGAATAAGGTAATGAATTCTCGAGTGTTTTTATCTTGAAGAAAATGAGTCAGAGGCACTCAAAGTTCACGGTCTAAAAACATGATATGCCAATGAGACAAACAAAAAATATAATGTTTTAAAAATGTAAAATAAGAAAATTCAAGATATGTTTTCCTTGGAATGAGAAATTTATTACAACAGTACTTGAAATAAGTCTAATAAGACTTGTTGTAGTGGCAAATCTTGTTTTAAGACAGTCAGAATATACTCAAATCAGGATAAAAACCCTTGATTCAAGCATTCATTACCTCATATTTTTGTCATTTTTTTTGCAGTGCACTACTGTACAGTCCCCATCCAGGCTTGAGATTCAATTAAGACTGATTATCAAGATCTAATTGGTGCTATGTGAGCGACCTGTGCTGTGCTGTGCTGTGCCACTACTTTCTGGGTCACCGCTCTCTTGGCAAATTTGATCCCCGTTTTTTCTTTCCCCAACCGCTTCTTACCACCGTGTATCCAAGACCCCAATCCTCCTCTCAGACTTTTAAATTCTCCTGTCACCCACACCCACTTTTTCTAATAGCCGTAAGCTTCTCACTGTGCTACCTGCCACCGCGATTACAAAAATGTGACATCGGGAGGGGCGAGATAGCGGCTAAACTTTACAATTTCGTTTCCTGAATACACGGCACATAAAAAGCCTTTCAAAGTGTGCAATGAAGCCTGTTAGGTAATTTCCACCATAACACTCCCACTATAGATTCCCTCCAACAATATGGAGCTTAGAGTCATAGCTTCGGGATATGCTCTCCTTTACTACCTTGTGCAGGGCCATTCAGACACAAGAATACTGGTCAAAAACTCAAATCAACAGTAATGGATGGATTGATATACTCAGACTTAACATGTAATTTAATAATGCAATGATGGGGTATAGGCAAGAAAGGTTTTTATTGTCTGTGTCTGTGCTGGTCTGGACTATGCGTCTGTAATAAACTTATCTATCCATCCATCTATAAGTATTTTTTACTTCTGCCTACTCCTTTTGAGCTCCATATAGCACGTAATAAAACATTGTATTTTTGTTGTATCAATTGCATGTGTCGCTTTGAGCTCAAATCTGAACTAAACCGACATGATAAATTGTTGAAAAGCGAGACAGGAGCCGTCATAATTCATTCATTTAACAAATATTCTGAAATGTAGATGTGTGTGTGTGTGTTTGTCAGGTGCATCCTTTTGTTTATGATTTATCGTGAACATTTGTGGCATATGTAGCCAAAATGAAAATGAACTGACTCCAGATCATCATCAATCAAACAAGCAGTAAATCTCCAACACTGACCTGGATCCAGTGTTTCGGTGATGAGGGCAGCCCCGGCTTTGATTTGTGGTATAATGAGTTCCACACCCATGACCTTGGCGCCTACATGTGCATACATAAAGCTGAGGGCGTTTTAGTAATTGAAAGTGGTTAAATAGTGAGAGAGTGTCCAAAGGGGATACACACCGTGTCCTTCTTTTCACAATATTACAAAAACATATTATGCCAAACATGAAAAATGTGTTCAGTTAAAGCTGGGGTACTGAAAAAAATCGAATTAATTACAAAAATGACAACAATCTAATCATCTGGTTCCTGGCTTTAAAACAGTTTGGTTCTATCACGAGTAGTAGAGCAGCACCTTTTTCAATCTGAGAGCTACTTTTATGCAACAAAAGAGGCAGGGAGCTACTCCTTTTGGCAGTTGTGATAAAAAATCTATGCAATTATGATAGAACATAGAAAACACATCAATATACCATGATACTCAAAAACCCTATATTTATACAGGTTGGAGACCCATGTGGTATATTATAGTATGTTATAGTAAGCATATAGTAATCATTTGAAACATTCTAAGTATACTTTGTGCACTTGTATATAGCAGTAATTTTAAGAAATGTATTGACATTTTTTGTGATTATTTCTTGCATGCCTTATATCTATTTGTACTTTTATAACTTGTTTGCACCGAGAGCCAAAGCCATTTCCTAGTTGGTGACTTCCTGTTGCTTACATTGGCAATAAAAAGAAATATGATTGTGATTCAGAAAAGTGAAAAGGAGAGGACCACTCACCCTTCGTCCAATCAGCTCATGGTCTGATTTGTTCACATTTAGACAATTTTACAGGTAATATTGATAAACAAAATACTTAGGTACCCCAGCTTAAATCTGGCATTTTTTTTTCTTTTGTTTTGAAGGTGACATCCGGAGGTAAATGAAACACATGCTGTCCTTGTCCCTTCCCTCGTTTATTTGCCCCCAGTAGCAGAACGCAGTGTAAGTAATGGAAGCGCTGACATAAGATCAATGCTTCGGGGTTAACTCAAATCCAGCACACACACGCCACCCCATGTACAGGCCAGCGAGAGCACACAGGCTCTTACTGAGAGGGGAAAAAGTGCTATTTTAGTCATAAAAATACTCATGAAATGTGGATTAAACCCTCCGCATTACGTGCCCTAAGCCCAATATTTAACAGCCGTCCACGAGACAGCTCAGAAATAACATTGTGTAATTGAATGGGATAGCGATGGATTTGGAAAATGCATTGTGACTTCTCGTGACGCCAGCTCATGAATATTGTAAAACTCGCAGGGAGCATATCTCAGAGCCGTGAAAACAATTGAAGACGACAGGCCAAATGCCGCCTGAACAGATGTTACCGTTACCAGAGCGTTGGCCGCAAACATTAAGCAGTTTATAACAAAATACGACAGAAATAGCCACAATACGTCTCTCATTTGGTGACATTAACTTTAAAAAACAGGGGAAAGAGGCAATCATTCCACTATAGTCTAATCTCTCCTTCGCACATTTTAATTTATACTGCTTTAATTGAGATTATACGTATTATAGCGTCTATTTGAAATCCTATCTCTAATGGCAGCTAATAAACACAATCAATCTTGGCTAATATCCCATAAGACTATCAGTGTCTACAGCGCTGATCCATCTCCTCCACAATAAAACAACAGGTTATTTACATTAATAAGCTCAACTGTATTACCAAAGTAATTGGAGATTAAGGCGCTTATATAATGCAACCTCTGGCATCATTACTCAACAAAGCTTTATCACGCCGTTCCAGCTAACAAATATTACCAACGTTTTACTTGTTGACTGATGGAAGTATGAAAATGCATTAATTAAAGTACACGCTAATTAGGATTACAATGTGCCTGTTGTATAAATGCATATAATATCCTTCCCTGGACCCACGCACAGGACAAAACAACAGAACAATAATCGACAGGGGTTTCATTAACCTTGCACTCTGCGTTATGAAGTAAAGCAGTGGTCTTCAAGCCGTTCCTTGATGAAATGGTCTGGTGTGTGCTCCTGTTTGTTTGATATGAACACCTGCAGTCACCAGCCAGCCATTTGAGGACCGGTTCGAAGACCACCGACAGCGAAGAAAAACTAAAACAACTCACATGAAGGATTTGACATCTAGACCTCTGTTTCGGATCTGGTCCATGACATAGTCCCAGCTGCCCGGGGTGGCTCGCGACCGGCCAGTTCCGGCTCTGTACCGGGACGCTCCAGTCGTGCCTCCCCGCGGAGCAGCTCTGCCGCTCGCGCCTTCACCTCCACCCCCTTTTCCTCCCCCAGCTCCCGTCCCACCTGCTCCTCTGTCCCCTTGTGGCGCATGGTGTAACTGTCCCAAACTCTGAGACGTAGTGGGCGGGTGTCCCAAGCTGGAATGGCTGGAGGGGTGCACTAGAGGCTGCTGGAGGCTTTGCTGACGGAGTAGCGTCCTGGGCCGGGTGGGAATGTGGTCAAGCGTGGAGGTATAGGACAAGACCTGATCTCCGAAACTGGGAGGGCAAAGGAGCAAGGAGGACAGGGAGCGTGCGGAGAGCCAGGGCCGACAGAGGAAGGGATGACGCAGGGCCACCAATGACGTAGCGATGTCCAAGGCAACGCGTTCAGGAGAGCCGGGGAAAGACAAAGAATCAGGTGAGATCAAACATGGCGGAACCGGACGAGAGCTCAGGTTAAAACACGAGTCCGGACAGGAAGAGCAAGGCGGGGGAGAGGAAGTAGAGGGGGTTGGAGGAGGAGGAGACAGAAGTGCAAAAAGACAGCAAGATAGAACACTGATACAACAGCAGTAACAGCAGTAGCACAAGTAACAATACACCGTGCAGTCTTGATGATCGCTCTGTCCCGTATATTTCTCATGGGTTGGGCTCGGACTACCAGGCTGTCCCCTGTGAGTCTGCAACAGTTTTCGAGTTTGAGATTTTCGTGCTGGAAATGATCGAAGGTTGACAGTCCGGACCACATGACCTGGAGGTTTAGGGGTTGTGGTTTTGCTGCTGCTGCTCCCGGATCTCCCTGACACTGCTTTATGACTTTGTCGAGAGATGCCCATTGCCTAAGCTTGTCAGTTTCCATGTCTGACAGAATCGCCTCATTCCTGTCTTAGTCTTTTAAACACATGCCACCTCTCAGGAGACGTCTCCACAGCCAACCAAGTCCTTCTCCTCCCTCTCTGCCTCCCACTCCCCTTTGTAAGAAAATTGACAGTGTTTGATGAAGTTTCTGAAAGCTAAGGCCCTGACATACTTGCATTCGTGGGAACCTGGCTGTCGGTTGTTTTTATTATAGCTTGTCTCTAAATATACCGCGCTCTGAGAGTCCACAGAGTCACCCAGACTTGGAGAAGTAGGTCATGAGAGAGCTTCTGTTAAGTGTAGCTTTCTCCTCTTTGCATCACTCGGTCTCTAAACACTATGATGTAATGTTTTCAACCCGATATGTGGCAGGTTTAAACACGGGTGTGAGGTGTGCCGTTCGGATGGGATGGATAGAGAGAAAAAGAGAGACAGGGTGATGATGGAGGAGAGGCAAAATGGGGTGTGAGACGCGCACACACATGAGACATAGAACAGGCCTGAAAATAGATTCCAATTATAGACGGGGCAAAAAAGAAAGAGGAGAGAATGAAGAGTGAGGAAGTGATTGTAAATGTGATATGGAAGAAGAAATCACATGCGAGGTGCTAGGAGAAGGTGCAAAAATTCACCCAGAGTTGAAAATGAACCCACTCGTTTACAGTGGACTGAATTTAAATAGTAAATCGTGTGATAGTGTCAGTGCCTTTCAAACTATGCACATTCTAATCGGGTAAATGTTCATCAGAAGGCTGTCTGGTAAGCAAACGATTGGTGGTGATGCATTCTTTAACTAAGCAAGAGAAGGCCAGACCATTTCTTCTAGCGGGCAGTGCAGTTCTTTGCATGAATAAATCAGTTTTAGCAGTTGGCTTTTTGTGTGCAGCTGGAGCGCCTGTGTCAGCCGAAGGTGCTATAAGGCTTTAGAGACACGCTCAGGAGTTCACATTTTGTCACACTTATGCAGAGACGGATAACGGCGAGGGCCCTGTGCTCATAGCTGCACCAAGCAACAAGTTCAATTTAGAGCTTTAAACATGGAAGAAACTCCTTCAAATATTCTTTAGAAAATATTAATGTATAGCTGTATTATAGAGCGTTTTATGGGACACTTAAATACGCTTCCCATGGTATTATTCATTTCCTCTGTACACGATGGTGACACACAACACAACCGATCCTTCACTCACACCAGATTCATAAGTGGATGATGTGTCTTGCCTAAGGACATCTTTGTTGGCAATTTACAGCTGCCTCATTGTTTTAACCAGACCCTGCCTTGCTTAGCTTCTGAGGTCTGCCAGAACCAGGCTTTTATATACTTTCTCATGTGGCATCACAGAAAATCTTTCAGCTCATAGTCAATTATGATCTCACTTATTTAAACTAGATTGTATTTCGAATATAGAATTTTATTTACACAAATATGCAACTTCTTACAGTAGAGTGCACTCGAGTGCAGTGCACTCGAAAATAACATTTGCAATTACTGTGATTTTTTATTTTAAGAACTCACTGCTTCGCAACGTAACAAAGCGACACAAGACTGCCAGTGCTGCTGCTGTAAGTGGTGCTGTAAATATATTGTATTCTCCATACTCACTTGTTTGGTCGAACTCTCTCTCCATGGACACTCTGCCACCTCCCGACCTTTGGAGCCTCGGACATGCTCCTCACGCTGTCGTTGCGAAAAGAACCCACCCCTTCATCCCCATGACCTGTGGCAGCCCCCTTCTGCCCCCCCGACAACGCCCCACTGAGAACAGGGTACCCCAGGAGGGAGCACAGGGGGAGGGACAATAGAGAGAGACCAGAAAGTGTCAGAAAACAGAACAATATTTACACAAACACTAACGTGGCCAAAGGGGGTGGGTTGAAGCAGGGTGATGATAGATAAGTGGAGTCAAAACATTCACAATATTTAAGGGTTAAACTGAAAAGGCTTGAACAAGATGCGGGAAAATATGAAACTGCTTCTAAAAGTCCTCCAAAGTGACACTGAGTTAAATGCCCTGTAAAGCATTGATGACTGTCTATTTTTAGAAGCAATAAGTCAGGATGTGCTCACCTATTAAAGTCAGTAAGAGTGAAATGATAGTATGTCATGGGTTCAGGTTGTAAAATTCAAAAAAAGCAATTTGACACTGAGAAAATTTATGAGCAGTCATACTAAAGTTCCTCCTAAAAGAGCTTGAAATGTCAGTTTCAAAGCAGGCAAAATGAAGCACAGTAGTGCCCCCTGGTGACATGAACCCACTGCACTGATATGCAGCTGCTGCTGGAGTGACAGGCCTCACATGACACTGTTTGAGAGCAGCATTGGCCAGATAAAAAGGGCTTTGTCGGGGCTTGCATCACAGAGCTACTGAAGGTCATCTCTCACATTTAATTCTGACCAATTGACCTGACAGTAGATTTGGATAAGTCATCAATCACTACAACAGCAAAGATGACACGGCAGGAGCAACGGTCAACACTGGAGACACGGGCCTCATTTATCGAGCAAGGTGAACTCAGAACCAGGAGCAGGGGACTGAAAAGAAAAGGGGCGTAATTTATGTGAATCATTTACAAGATTTCACATCCTCCAAGAGTCAAGTTACTCTCTGCAAAACTGTAGGATTTAAGTGAAATACCATGTCTAGGATTATTTATGTATTGATACATTTGATAAATAAGGCCCAGAGTCGAAACACTGTGGATAGCACTAGTGTTTAATGCAGTGAGAGTCATTTATTTGCCAGTACTAAAGTCCAAAGGAAAAGTAGCTGTTTGGTTATGAATCACAATCTGGAGGGCTGTATGAAAAATTGACTTCTCCAGACAACTTGTCTTATTTCCCCAGATCAGCAGCCATCATCTTAAGGCAGAGTTCCCAGACAGTAATCCATATATCCATGGTACTCACAAACACCGCCTTTCTCCCGGCAATTTAACCAGCACCCTCAGCACTCCGTGAGCAGTTATTAGGCAGTTTATCAGACTCACACTGGTCGCACTGTGCCTGGGCTTAGAGGCCTCAGAGCCAGCGGGAGATAGCTTTGACCTTGCTCCTGCTTTATTGGATTCAGGTGTCAGTGAGTAAAAAATGACTCACATCAAGTTAAACACGGTATCTTTCAGTATGATGGACACAGTTCAAGTGCTAGCATCGGAGCGAAACACATTTGATATCAGGCAGAAGCCACATGACTTAACGGTCAACCCTCCAGAACACGTCAGTGCATCAGCAGAGGACACAAGCACAAAAAGAGGGTTAAAGTCTGTAAGCTGGGACATTTGAGGGTTGTCCGTCTCCATGGTTACAGCCCATGGGAGAGAGGGTAGAGGTTAGAAGTTAGTGGGACCAGCCGGGCTGTGAGGAGCAGGTGACAGTTCATTAAACTGTGTTGAGAGAGGATCCTCCCCGCAGGGTGTGTGCTGCTACACGCCACAGTCACAGAGAGGCCTGTGCTGGGGACGTGCTAATGTGTGCCTGTGACATTTTCTTGGCTCCAGAAGATTATGAGTAATCATGAATAAGGGCCATGCCCTACAGTGTGTATGGAGTAACATCTTATTGTTGTGATGAAACAAACTGTATGCTATCTTAAAGCCCTCCACACTGCACCAGTCCAATTCCATGTCTGATATTCAAAATTCCTTTTTTAATAGTCCAAATTTTGAAGTTGGAGGATTTGAAATAAGCTTTCATGCCGTCAGTTATTGACAATGGTTGGTCTGAAAGAGCAGCTCGCTCAGGGGGATGTGTGAAGACAGTGACGCTCCTGCTCTTTACAGCCCAGCTCAGCGGGATTGTGTCTTACCAGACCAGACCAGACTCACTTGAGTGTGAGGCGAGGATCTCCATATGGGGCATAAGGAGAAATGTTTAGTACGAACTCCTTGGGCGGATAGGAGCTCCACCTCTGCTGCACTGTGCTGCTGTCATTGTTATTCCAAAAGTCTCTGTCTAGATCGCTGTGACCAAAGAGAAAGACAGGTGAGAGCAACAATCTACCCACCTGAAGGACACACCGGCGAGGCTCTGTTACTGCAGACATGATTCAAAACAGTGTAAAACATTTTACCTGCTGTTTGCATATTAGCGACTTCATAAAAAATCAAAAGGTAAAGTCTGGAAAAGAGGCATTCACAAAAGCTCTTTCGAAAGCAAGCTGCTGGTGAAAAGACGCAAGAGAAAGAACAGAAAGAAGGAATCATCATAATCAAATGAATACATCAGCGTAGAGGTGACACAGCAGCGCAGCATTTGTTAGACACATTATAGGACGATGTCTGCTCTCCATTTGGGCACAAGCAGAGAAAATGCATGATAACACAAGGCAGGAGGAAAGTCAGAAGTGTCATTCAAGTCACAAACTGGTCAAATCACAGGAGAAACAGAAGCAGCGCACAGAGAGTCAGTCAAAGCAGAAATGTGGAGCCAGAGAAGAGGAAAGTGTTCAAATGAAGCCAATGTTAGAAATCACATTCACATCGAGTACAGAGCTCAAAGCACCTGTGCACAGAACCAAAGTAACCAAAGTAGCAGAGACAACAGTGGGCTAAAGAAGAGAAGTGATGAGCAGGTTATTACACTGGCCCTTCACATTTCTGTAGAAAATACACAAAATAGAATACATCTGCAAAAGAATATGAGTTGAAAATGGACAATACCTTCAACATTTCCAAACACTATTCATTCATGACATTGTATTCAGTTTGAAATTAAGGAGAAAGCCAAACACATCGGACCCTTTTCTAAAAACAGTTAAATTGGAAACAGATTACAGCACTTTGCTTTGAGGTAAAGGAGAAGTAAGTGTTGCTTTTATGTCCTATTGAAAGATATAATTCCTTTCAATAAACTACCCTAAACTAAAAGAGTTTTTGTTCTCTTTGAAGTCTCTCTATATGAACTGTCTCTGCCCGACTGACCTCCTGCTGATGCCCAGAGGTAGAACTAGTAGTAGTAGTAAGTAGTAATCTTTATTTATATACCGCCTTTTCACTGCAGATCTGAGTCTCAAAGCAGTTTACAATTGTTAATTTTGGGCATTTGTCTCTCACTCCACACAGAGATGGGAGCGGGGTCGCCAGTACAGGAGGCGCATGCCAGAACTATTGGACATATTTTTAGTGGTAGGGGAAACCGGAGTACCCGGAGGAAACCTACGCCGACACGGGGAGAACATGCAAACTCCACTCAGAAAGACCCTGGTCCGACCAGGATTCGAACCCAGGACCTTCTTGCTGAGAGGCGAGAGTGCTATCCACTCAGCCACCAACTTCATCTTTATGCTAAAATTGGCAATGGTCTGCCTGAAAATGTGAGAAAGACCCTGTTTTTGTGATGATTTCATCAGCTTTCATTTCGAGCCCTTACATTGTGATTTTTTTTGTTCACTACTTTGCTAGAAAAACTGCTAGCTCACTTTTGGGATTGGATTTTTACATTACGAGCAGTGGTTGACCCAAGGGATTGTGTATAAACTCTTTAGGTGAAAAAGTAGCAGAATTAATAACATTAATATTAATACTGTTTTGGTTTTATATAAAGATTTTTGGCACTTTTCATTCCCTACATACACGGTGGTGATAAACTATTAATTTTGCCACAGCTGCTCTGGGACAGACAGACCCAATGGAGGCAACAAGTCTGTGCCATTGGCCCTCTCCAACCACCACCAATAATTCACTCACACACCAGAGTCATTCTAGGCAATTCTGGGTGAAGTGTCTTGCCTTAGGGCACTTTGCAGCCAACTCACTATGGCACATGAGGTTCAGGAGGTCTCCCTTAATAGTACTAACCAGGCTCTGCCCTGCTTAGCTTCAGAGGTCTGACGGAATCAGTCTTTCACAAATTGCCTCTAAATCCTTAGCTCTAGTTATGTTTCTTACATGTATTTCTGTCTTCTCTATATCTCTTCTATTATAATTATTTTTTAATCTCCTAAAGAGTTGTGCTAACCTATGATGTAGCTAATGATGAAAAATTGCTATCTACGTTTAGCAATTACAATTCAAATGCCTGTAAATGAACACACAGTAGAGTTTTTACCCTACTGTGAAACATTTGTGGCACATACAACCTCCCCTTTAAACTGTTCATTTCGATTATCAACAACTTACTTCTCCTTGGTGTCCGACAAAACCGTTTTTGTTCCAAACCCAAAACTAAGTAGTCTGTGACTCGAGCGAGTGCAGTTCATTATGAGCCGATCATGATGGCCCCTGACTAGTTAGCAGCCACTTACTTGATGGCTTTCTTCTCCCCTCGCCCACGTGCCGAGTCTGGAGTGTCTGCTGTCTCCACTCCTGGCTTGTTCCTCTTCCCCTTTAGCCAAAAACACACAGACACACACATATAGAGAGACACGCGCGCACACACACACACACACACAAAAGGTTATCTCAAGACTTGTCCTTTGGAGCTGTGTTTTTTGCTACAATAATATGAAGAGTATGGCCCTCTCTCATTACCTCAGAAACATCTTTACCTGATGGTCCCCTGAATACACTTATCAACGTCAAATCAAACCCACTGTTGATCCATCTACCATTATCGGTCTTGCTACCCTTCAAATTTACATTGCAATTGCCTCTTTAGGGTAATCTAATCGAAGAGAAACGCCTCAAAAGTCTTGCACCAAGCCTTGATTTTAAATAGCTAGAGCGTGACCTGCCGTAACCATGGAAATAACGGCAATTTTGAAGGCTGCGGTCGACTGAAAACCTCATTACCTATAGAGGTGTTTCACATGTGTTGCAAAGGAGGTAATCTCCATTGAAACTCTGAGAGGCGGATTAAGTATCAAAGTATAAAAGGCGAGAGAAGAAACACATTGGGATACATATCTGGGAGAAGATTTTTCTATTGCGGGAAATGAGTGGGAGGACGTGCCATTGCTGCCATATCGCGGTCTGGGAAATTGGACAGGAGCTTGGCGGAGGAGCAAGATCCTGTCAGGGGCTCGGTGGGTACAAGGGGCGATCCGCAAATTGGAGATCCTGAGTTGGAATGTGATTATGCAAGGAGCTCACCGAGGGCAGCACCGCGGGGTTGGGTGGGGGTGAAGCGGAATAAGTAGCGGCTGTTTATTGTCATGGAAAGAAACTTTTTTTGTACTTTTTTGTACTACTCAAAAATGTGTCCAGAACTGCAGTATATAGTTCACTCCGGACAACTATCACATCTGTAAAACTTTATACGAACTCTATGATAGGTACAGTATGGCTGCAGGATATAACATAAAGGAATCACAATTTGGATAATTCATGCCTTTCTTCTTTCATGTTTCTAAATGTGCAAGGTTCATTTTCGAGTTCAACGGTTTATATTTTAGTGAATGCCCCCGCAATCCTCAGGGAGTTCCCCTATCTCTTCGTTGTCATTTTGTGATTCGTTTTGTTACACTGTCCTTGTGAAGCGCATTGAGAGGCAGTCCTGTGTGAAATGTGCCGTATAAATAAAGTTTTTATTTTAAGTGTAGGGACATACTTGTGATGGATCTATTGACCGTGTATTAGAAGTGGACTAACCGAGTGCTGACGTTACCATAGTAATAGCCTTAATGCGAAAGCGGCTGATTTGAACCTAAGCTAGCTAGAGACAATCTCCTTATAAGGGCATTTCTCCCGCTGCGCTAGCTTCACGTTATAACCGGGGTGCAGGTGTTGCTAAGATGGTTGCTCAGACAAGCTGGAGTTTTCCTCGCAAATGAAGGCATCTGATTGGTCAATCCCTAAATGGCTCATATCTAGATTTACAAAGACAATATCAAAATATAAACTCCAGGATCATAGAGACCAGGATCACCAATTTTATCAAGCCCCGAATGGTGAGTGTGACACAAACAGTTAGTGAGCTAGAGGAGTTCACTTTTCTATGGAAGTTCAGAGTTGGAAATGTTGTCCATGACTTCATCCACTTCCCTATTGCGCTCCGAGCTATATACAGTCTATGGATGAATCACACCAATCTGTTTGTAGTTGAAAAAAGCAGTAAAAAAGAGATTGAGATGGATCATATAGAGTTATAGACCAAGCCATATGTTGAACCCAGAACAAAGAGGAAGTTTGGAAAATGTTATCCAAGGAGAAACACATAATTGTCCTTCTTTCTACAAACAGCAGCGAGAGGTTCAAGCAAAATGACCCCCACCCACAGTGGAGCAAACAAATCATGACATTGCAGTTTCAGACGGTTTCCACAAAGTAAAATGAAACCAGTTGAAGCATAAGCCTAGATCACACCTGGTTGAATGGACGATTTTATTACAATGTGCTAATTCCAACATAAATAATACATCTTTATTTGTCCAACTGTATATTCATAATAATAATAAAATTAAAGGGGGACACACAAAAAAGACAGAAGAATAAAACACATTTTAAGTTTAAAACAGACTGTTTCAAAATAGCCAGAAGAATGTCCATGAAAAAAATGCCAAGTAATCCAGAAAAATATTAGTTGCAAAAATATATTCCACCAAACTTGACAGAGATCCTAAGGTCACGCACGAGCAGTATGAATAATTTATTTGCTAATAGCTGTCACTGAATGTGTGGAAGCGGTTGAATAACGGTAAATTACACCAGACTCTTTATTCTGTGTAGAGACAGACAAGTGATCTGAATTGAATTAGGCACTCATCAGTAATAGAACCTGGAATAAGGAGCTAAAAGAAAACCCAGAAAAGGAAAACACCAGCCTGTCAAAGACCTGAGTCAGATCCATTTTACAGCATTCAGTTACTATAGATAGAAATGCTAATCTTGCCACTCGAGCTGGAGGCAAATACAGTCAAAATAAAATATAAATTCAAGCTGCAGAAAGAGAGGAGCAGTTTTTTGTCATACTGCACAGACAATATTGACCGGCAGAAATTATACAAAAAGAGTATGATTTGTGTGTTCACATGATTCAGCTTTGCACATTATATTTCCATTGTTAACGCTGGGGCACCTAATATTGAGTTCCCATACATCATGCATGTCCAAACTAAGGCCCGGGGGCAAATAGTGGCCCTCTGTATCATTTTATGTGGCCCTCCGCCGCTAACTGATTGTTGTCTTTGAGATCATAAACAAGTTCAGTTCCAGCCAACTTCAGCTCTACCAGGAGACATGTTATATGTTGTTGTAAAGATCAGAACCTCTAGAATCCAGTTTATTAGTACAAGCAGACATTTGTTTTTAGTTGTGTCACCAAATTCCATGCCAGTAATGTGGCTGTGGAGCAATAGTTAATACTAGTCAACTTAATTGCTGTCAAATGTAAATAAATATGGAAAGATCATTTTGAAGTCCAGAAAAGCCAAAATCCAGTCAAAACAGACAACAAACTTTTGTTGTTGTTGTCAGCCCATGGAAAAGTCTGGTGAACTAAAGTGGCCCTCTTGCTAAAAGGTTTGGACACCCCTGACATACAGAATACATGTTGTTTGTCCCGGCAGAAATGCAAAATATCAACAAATCAGACGCGCAAAGAAAGAGCCCTGTGAGAGTTACTATTTTTTCAATTCAATTATTCAATTTATTTTCATACAGCCCTATATCACAACATGAGTCGTCTTGGAGGATTATACAAAGTTGTTGATTCCCCAACATCAGATCAGAGAATCAAACACAGACTTTGCAATAATAACGAACACATAGGAGCCATTGATCCATGACCTAAGTCCATAAATGATAACAAATGTCCATAAATGTCCCCAGAAAAACAGTGGTATTTTTTTTATTTTGATTATGTCCATGATTCTTTTTAACTTTTCTGTCTGAGCTATAAATGTGAGGCTAAAATACAGTACATGCATGCAAAATCTACTGGTAAAGGCAAACTGTTTTGAGATCCACAAACTAGTTAAATACGTTACATTTCCTGTGATTTCCCCCAGCTTTGAGATATCCTATTTATATATATATATATATATAATATTTACCTTGACGGAAATTCTTTTGTTTGTTTCACTGCATGACGCACTGTTTGAACTGTTACGAGCGACAGTTGACAAGATCTATTCTGGCCTGAAATGATAAAACCCATAAAGCAGCTTTTCTATTGTGCCATCACCTGAGATGGACCATTCCAAAACTGAACAAACACGGTTCCGATAGAAGCGACTAGTTAAATAGCCTCTAACAAAGCTGTGGTTTATGGACCAACTCTCATCCAGATAGAGACGGCGCTGTTGAAAAAACCATTTAGCATCTTTTATGGACTGCCGTAGCCAAGTCCGAGCGTGTTAACATGGGCTGACATGCATGATAAATAAATGTAAAGACAGCAGAGAGTGCAGAGAGAGCTCATATAAAAAGGACATAAAGATACTGTACCACACCCATGCAATTTCCGGGGAAGCCTTAAATGTACTGTTAAAAAAAAAGAGAAAAATAAAGAAGGATATAAATTAAATGGTGCATCCTATTAGTGGGAAGTTGTTACTGTGACTGCTGGGGGCGATGTGGCAATGGGTGTTTTAGTGTCGCCATGCAAATTCTGAATTCTTACACGCTCAATACTCGGGTTTTGATGGGACACACAAGATAGCATTGTGTTTGTACAATAGGAAGTGCAACTAAGATATTGAATACTTAGCTTATAACTTATATAATCCACAGTTTTTACTATTATCTTCTTTTATCTTACAAAATATATATATATACATATTTTTAATCTATTATCTTATTTCCTTCTTTGATTCTGCTGTAATGTGTGCAACGGTGACATTGAAATTTCTCCACTGTGCAACGAAGAAATGGACATTTTTTTCTCTGGGGTATACGTCACTTTCAAACCACAAAAATGGAACTACTTCCTTGCTTTTAAAACAGTTATGGTTAGGGTTATACCACTAGTTTTCACATGCATGTTTTTTTGGTATATCACATCTGTAAACCAGGTTTTTCAGACCGAAAAATAAAAAATGAGAGGACCATGTATGAAAACAGGTATTATTAATGGCAGAAAATGTTATATACTCCAGCTTTAGGTCAGGATTTATGTTCAGAAAAGTATGTTTAGTCTATTATGTCTATAATCTTACAATGCATTAGTGTGAATGAAAAACGTGGTCTCTTGCTGGCTGTGAAAGGATGGTCCCCCATGTTGAATTTCATATGAATAAGAAAAAAATCTCTAAAGATGTGCTGGTGGTGGATGAAAAACACCCCAACTGAAAATGACTATAAAATTACATACCTCAGCTTTAAGATTTGGATGTAAGTGGATGCTTTCACAATACTCAGGAGTGGACCGATCAAAGAAAGCCTCCGTAATCACCAAATGGATCAAATTATGGGAAGAAAGAGCAGATGGAGAGTGTAAAGACAGAG